AAGAAATGGTCGATTTTATTGTAAAAAAAATTGAAATCTGATGCGACGCAATTTGTTTACGATTTTGTTCAAAAATATCTAGAACATGTTGAAAAAGTGAAGCAATTCTGTGAACAACTATTAGATGGGACGGGATCTATTGACAAAGAGACTGCGTTGAGTACTTATGTTCAGCGAAATTAACACGAAATCAATATAATATTATTCGTGATGTTACAAAATTTGATTTTAGAAAATTACCAAGTTATTATGAAATTCAAAAAGCAAAACAAGACTGCCTTCCAAACAAAGAGTCCATCAAAATTACTGATACAGGAGTGAAAGTTTCTTTGCAGAGTTTACTGAATCACACCGCACTTAGGTTCATTCAACTTTTGCGTTCTGATTTGGAACCATTTACAAATTTAACTATGGTTTCGAAATGGGGATGTGACGGTGCTTCTAATCAATCTCCTTACAAATTGAATTTTAGTGACGAATCGAAAGATGATAGCAGTGTATTCATATGTAGTTTCGTACCAATTAAAATATTTAATAATGATAATAATAACGTTCTCTGGCAAAATAACTGCCCTTCCTCGACTCGATTTTGCAGACCAATAGAATTTCAATTTGTCAAAGAAGAAAAGATCGTAGTCAAATTTTGCGTTGATGATATCAAGGCCCAAATATCTTCATTAACATTATCCACTTCAAAAGAAGGTATTTCGATGAAACATGAAATGGCACTGACCATGATTGACAACAAAATATGTAATATATTGACTGATACAAAATCCTCCATGAAGTGTTATTTATGTGATGCTTCTCCTAAAGAAATAAACAATTTGGATTTGATTGAGAAAAAAGCTATCAAAGAAGAACACCTGTCGTTTGGATTGTCATTATTGCATTGCTGGATCAGATGCTTTGAATGTTCGTTACATATTTCCTACAGAATAAATATAAAATGTTGGGCTGTTACAGGTAAGCAAAACAAGCGAAAAATCATTGCTGGATCAGATGCTTTGAATGTTTGTTGCATATTTCCTACAGAATAAATAAAATGTTGGGCTGTTACAGGTGAGCAAAACAAGCGAAAAATTGAAGAAAGGAAAAAAGCCATACAATCCGCTTTCAGAACCAAAATGGGCTTATTAATTGATATTGTAAAACAAGGAACAGGCACATCTAACGATGGCAATACTGCCAGAAAATTCTTCGCTGATCCAAATTTGTCAGCTGAAATCACAGGCCTGGATAAAAATCTAATAATTCGATTTTCAATTTTATTACAAACAATTGCCAGTGGAAAAAAGTGGATATAACGAAATTTCAAGTTTATGCTTATGATACTGCAAAACTTTATGTTCGGCTATATCCATGGTATTATATGCCAGTAACAGTGCACAAATTGTTGATTCATGGAAGCGCTATAATAAAATATGCAATTGTACCAATAGGTCAATTATCTGAAGATGCCCAAGAAGCGAATCACAAATATTTTCGAAATTATAGGGAAAATCATTCTCGAAAAATGTCTCGAAAAATGAATAACGAAAATATATTTACGAATCTGTTAATTGCTTCAGACCCAGTTGTTTCACATTCAAGACGAATAATTGAACACAAAAAAAAGAACTATGTGACGATGCTAAGAATCTTTTAGAACTTGACGAATCAGATTGTTATGAGTAAAATAATAAAGACACTTGGCGGACACTCAGAAATGAAATTGATCATATATACAATATTAGCTTTGCTTAGTTATTCGGTTTCTTTTTCTTTTTTTAAACATTGCTATTGTATTGTATTTTGTATATTGCTATTGTAAATTTTTTGTGATTATTGTGATTTATTTTATTTTATTGCAGTGCAAAATGTTCGACTTATTATTAAATGTCAACTACATGATTATTTAATTTGACAATAATAATTGAGTTATTATTAAATTATTTGATATTTTAGGAAGATTAGAACTGTTCAGAGATTGTTATTCTTCAACAACAAAATTAATTACACTGTAATAATTCTTTTTTTTTTCTTTATTTAAGTGAATGAATTTTGCTATATGTCGATAAAGCATTTGTTAACTGTATAAATTATTTTAATTATAATTAAATTGATTTTTTAGTTTACAAACTTGAAGTATATTATTCTTAGTTAATATATACCAAATTTCAAGTTTTTTTATTGAAAAATATTAAAACTATACGTCAATGACCGCGAAAAGAGATATTCGCCCCACTGTGCGCCGGTGCAACTGTCACAACATTATTGATGCGGGTGGAATCGGGCTCCAATTAAGGGGAGATAGAGACAGAGAACGTTCGTTAGTTTAACATTATAATAACTAACGACAGTTTGGACAGCAATGGCAGTTTAAACTGATCGCGCAGAGGTTGCCACCTTCTCCCGGAGTCGCATGACCGGAAACTGTCGGTCAATATCGCGTTACCTGGATATTTCCAGTTCGTGGCGCATCCTAACGTGCAGCAGCTACTAGCATCGATCTGGTACGAGGGCCTGCCGGGGTTTCGGCGGAAGAACATGTTCCTTCAGGCGCTGGAGATCGTCAGGATCGGCGTACTCTTCCCGTTTTTCAGCGTGGCGTACATCATTGCGCCCCACAGCATAGTCGGCCAAACCATGAGAAAGCCATTCATCAAATTCATCTGTCACTCCGCGTCGTATTTCACTTTTCTATGTGAGTAATGTTCTTCGCTTGCCACTTACGTAACTTGGTCGCGAGCCGCAGTTGCAATTGTTAAAAAAAAACAATACTTTTTTTTTTTATTTACCGTTGGAGAAATATGTGAAAAGCCAAGTCCAAGGTAAAAACCGAAGCTTCGCTTCGCGCCAAACGCGTGTGCGAAGCGGATGAAGCGCTTCGATAACAGGCATTTCGCAGAGCACTTTCGTGTCACGCTTTAAATCTAACCACTTGGCACGACGTCCGGCCGTAACCTGCCATTTCCTAGATTGTTCGCCGCACTTGATCAGCGTGATCCAAATATCCGGTTCATTCCGGAAATATCGGTGGCCGAATCAGCCCGAAACCTATACACACCGTCTATTCTTACAGATACATCTCTTATTCACGGCCTGCGTTGTTACGTCATGTTCTCCTTCGCGACACTTCATTAATTCGCGCAGCAAACCACGCACGCCCGGTCGAAATTCTCGCTGACGAAACGTCTGTCTCACTTTTACGCGTCTCACGGGCGATATTTTCCATTTCATCAAGAGAAGAGAGTGGGAGCAATTATTTGATTGAACGCATTTTAATCTGACTCACATGCACACGAACGGATGTGCGTTATGAGATTGTTACATATGAAATGTCGGTTTTATATCGATTTTCAGGTAATTTCTGAGGCAACAAAATAAATGCAAATAGAAGAGTATTTTTCGTATTTCTCAGAATAAAATGCCATTTTCACAATCTCGCTTCGATCTAAAGCAGAAAATTTAAAAATGTAAAGATCAAAAGCCAAAAGCACGCTTTTATTTTCGTAATAGGTATTATTTACGTCACATTTCGTATCTATTTTTCTCCTCACACGTTTTTAATAATATGTAAATGTAAGGAATTTATACTAAAAAACTGTTTTCGTCGTATCTGACTTTAAATTCACACAATAATGTCACTAATTTCCCCCAAAATTATCTCTTTATATTTCCACAAATTTACTGTAACTCGAAAAAATGCAAACATTTTGTAAAAACTCATGGAAGGATATTTTTGCGCGACAGTCACATCATTTTAATGGTACGCGATATTTGATTATCAAAACGCGCTTTAAGCTCTCTTCAAAAACCTTGGTTTTTGAAATTTGACATTTCATATGCAACGAACAAATAATTTCACGCATTTATGACATTCAGCATGAATTATCCGGAAATATTCGGAAAAGAGTGCGACACGCAGCTCGAGCAGTGCGTTTCGTACGGCGTATTTAACTTTCCGGCACGTTGGCGGATCAAACATCCACATGGCGAACGTCAAACAGTTTACAAATACCTTTCGGAGCCGCTACCAATAATAGTCGTGCACTAATGTGCGGAATTCAGCCGGCTGAGAAGCATTACTACTGTTCCGAGATTAATTGTTCGCCCGACCACGAGCGATACATCCTACTTGACTTCCGCTATTCAACGTAATCCCCGATTATATAGGGCGTTTCGTTATTATCAGAGGAATAATAGATTTAATTTTAGTAATGCTTTCACATGCCTTTTTTCGAGCTAGTATAAAAGAAAAGTCGACTAAAAGAATATTTTCTGTCAGTCTTCTCTCTAATTTTCACAACGCCAACTACCTAGAATATGAAATTGCAAATTAAATCTCCGCTGAAGTCCATTTAAGCTGAATCAAGAAACACGATTTATTATTACAATCTGCTACGCCCCGCTGTTCCGAAAGATAATGACTGTCCTGAATTTTCTAACGATAATAAGCTCGCACAATTTTCTTTGCGCAGTCATGTTAATTCTGGCTAGTCAGCGAATAGAAACTGTGATTGGCAATTGGTTGGGACACGAGACCCCCGAACAGGAACCAGTGCCGACGAAAAGAGGCGCCGCACCTACGATCGTCGAATGGTAAGACTGCTTCCAATCTTGGAAACTCATTTCCGTGTATCCGCGTGTTATTAATTCCGAGCACGAGCACACTGCGAGTTTTTCATTTCGCCGAGCGAGTAATAGCGAGGGAAATTTTTATATTTGAGAAGTACAAGCAATTTGAGCGGAAAATTGCAAAAATAAAAACACGGGAAGGAAAAACGAGGGGGAGCGAAGTGAGAGAAGCCACGTAACATCCGTGTAATATCTACCGGCTTATGACACTCTTCTTTCGCGCGGCGAGACGGTAATATAGAACGCAGAGGCGTTACACAGTAAGTCGGCGGTAAGCGAGATAAGCCCCGGAGACGCGTGCAATCTCGAGAGATCTTTCCCTCACGATGACGATATCGAAATGAGGTGATCAGAGCCTGTCGTATTGCAGATTTATTCCCGCCGCGGGATCAATTTCGCATTTAATTTGGCGTTTTATCAATAGAACGTCACTGCGACACGGTCAATAAATAAGCAGAGCGCGTGCAGCAGCGAAAGAGGATAATGACGGAGCGGTCGAAACGCCGGCTCCGAGCTCGGCTTTAGATTCCGAGTGGCGAGTCGATCGAGTTTCTTCGCGAAGCGCGACGTTGAGCGAAAACAAATTGTGCGCTAGCGCGCGCTATTCGGTTAGCGCGCCATTCGCCGTCGTTCGCAAGTTGAATGAGATCGAAATGAGATAACTGGAAACTTGAAACGCACACCGCAGGTTTATATTAGCCTGGGTGTCGGGGCTGATCTGGTCGGAGGTGAAACAGTTGTGGGACGTGGGCCTGGAGGAATACGTGAACGACATGTGGAACGTGATCGACTTCGTGACGAACTCGCTGTACGTAGCCACGGTCGCGCTGAGGGTCGTCGCTTACTACAGGGTGCAAAAGGAGAACGCGGACCTGAAGTTGGCGGGCGCGGAGCCGATCGAGCTTGAGCGCGAGGAGTGGGACACTTGGGATCCGATGCTCATCTCCGAGGGTCTCTTTTCCGCCGCCAACATCTTCAGGTAATAAATTGCGATTGTCTATTATGTGTCACTGTTGCACACGAAGCGCGGAATAGAACAGGTTAATCCCTCTTTGTCTATTTGTACTATAAATGATTTCTTTATCCGCCGTAAGATAATGAAAAACACATTTAAAAAGTTTATAGAACGAAAGAATCTTCTTTTGCGTCTTTATTTTTATAACTTTCTTTTTACTAAAAAATTATATATCGTGCAACACTTCTCTCGGTTGTAATTTTATAATTTGGAAATTCGTGTGAATACATTAATGCATCGTGTTTGGAATGCCGATGAATTTTTGATTGCTTTAGCAAGTCCGGTGCGGCGAGGCGCGGTGTAATGTGAAAACTCGATATTGGGAAAGTTAGTGCAGAAAGCTCTAATACCTATTATTCAAATTAAAAGTACGAACAACGTTGCAGCTCGCTGAAGCTCGTCTACATATTCTCCGTGAATCCTTACCTCGGCCCGCTGCAAGTTTCCCTGTCGAGAATGGTCATAGACATTATGAAGTTCTTCTTCCTCTACGTGCTGGTGCTCTTCGCCTTCTCGTGCGGTAAGACTCGTTAACGATACCATAACATAAGCCGCGCTGCAAGATACAGGAAAGATTAGCACGAAACACATTTGTTAGGTCTCAATCAACTTCTCTGGTATTACGCCGACTTGGAGAAGAAGCGATGCCCCACGGCGTGGACGTATTCGTCTAACGGCAGCATCAACTCCACCGCCAACGCAGACTCCAACGCGTGCGTCGTCTGGCGTCGATTCGCAAAGTACGTCACGATAATTGTCACATAAATATTTATCAGACGCATACAAAATCAGGAGAAGCAGCTGTTTTCAATTCTTTAACCCTGCGATTTTAGATTATCGCATTAATTAGTCTTAATTTTCTTATTTAAAACAATTTTTGTTTTTACTTAAAAATTCTCGAAGAGAAGCATTTTAGATCTCGGAAGTAAAATTATAAAGTAATTTGGAGAATATTCTTTTATTATTTTGCTGGTAACATATTGCGAATGACATGACATAAATGATAATTTGTTAAAATTATTCTTGTTTCGCAGTTTGTTCGAAACGATACAGACGCTCTTCTGGGCGGTGTTCGGCCTGATTGACCTCGAGAGCTTCGAGCTGGACGGCATCAAGATATTTACCAGGTTCTGGGGTATGCTGATGTTCGGCACTTACTCGGTCATCAACATTGTCGTCCTCTTGAACCTTCTGATCGCCATGATGAATCATTCCTATCAACTAATCTCGGTAAGTGCGCCGTCTCTTGCGAATTTCCGCGAGAGAGAACGATGAAAATGAGAAAGTGTAACGGAACCTTTAACTCTTCATTCAACCTTAAATACGAATGTTATATCGAATGGATTAATACGACGATAATGGGGACTTCTATTCGCTGCGAGATCAATTAACGAGAATGAATCGCGAGAATCTGAAGTACACTAGAATAAGAACGAAAATATACGCGGATCGCACTTTTCGCATTCACAATTAGCAAGCGATCTAATTAGCGGCGTGGCTCGCAATTAGGAACGCGCCGATGTCGAGTGGAAGTTCGCCAGGAGCAAACTTTGGATCAGTTATTTCGAGGAAGGCGGAACTGCTCCGCCGCCGTTTAACATCATACCGACACCGAAGAGCGTCTGGTATGTCGGACAATGGATATATCGGAAGCTCTGTGGACACAGCAGGGCGGCCAAAAAGGAGCACATGCGCACGATCAGGGTAAATGACAGTTCTCGGATTTTCCCGGAACAGAGTAGAACGGAGATGCTACCTTCGTAACAATTCTCTCGCGGCTCGACCTCTCTTCCGAGTTTTGAACCGATGGATTTTTATCTCTCGCGAAACGCAAAGCACGAGCTGCAGAATAAGATGTCAAATTGCTGAAGATTCTGCGAGCGCTGAAAAGCGTTGAAAAATGCATTCTACCGCGAGACGCTTGTTACGAATTTCTCCGCAATTTTGCGGCCCGCATTTTGGATTTTAAAATTTCATTCCCATACGCGGGGAAAAGTGTCGAGAATATTTAGAGTGAAATTTCGGGCGGCGAAGTTAGCACATTTTTTTTCGAACTTCTAAGCCATATTGAATCTGAGGAAAAGTTTTATCGTTATTAGTTACAATATTCTACCGCTGTGCAAATTTAGATTGGATGTCTACATAGAGTTTTTAAGATTCACCAACTTTTATCTGCAGATTTTTCAAAAGAATTTGAAGGCAGAGTTCTTAACAAATGCGATCCATATTTTTCAAGTTGGAAATGATTGAAGGCATTTTTTTTTTCAAAGAAAAAAAGCAGAAGTTTTTCCTTCATTAAAGTTCAAATAAAGTTTCTTTTAACAGATTTACACTTTGAAAATTAATTGCTGAGATATATCATTGAGAACTATCGAAAATCAATTATCGACTTCGACTTTTATGTCTAAGGAAACATCAATTGAAACATTAATTGAAGAATCTCTGGTGTCTAAAGGTAAAAGGTGGCCTGGTGGCATCGTAGCATTTGTAATAAAATCTTTTGACGTTGAAAGGTTTCGATTTCTGAATTTTGTCCTAGCGTAAGGTCAAACAGGCTTCCGAGCGAGACTTCAGATATCAGAGTATCATGAGGAATTTGGTAAGACGATACGTCACCGTCGAGCAACGCAAGGCGGAAAACGAAGGTGTCACGGAGGACGACGTGAACGAAATCAAACAAGACATCAGTGCATTTCGCTGCGAGCTTATCGAGATACTGAAGAATTCCGGCATGAACACGTCGACCGCGGCGAGCAGCGGTACGGGTAAGTCGTATGGAAATAAAAAAGAAGAAAAAAGAATGGTCTACAAATACTCTGCATGTGAAATCGCATCGATTTATTTGCTTAGTTTCCTATTAATGTAAGAGTTGAATGTAACGGTGGTAAATATTGACCGCAAATATTAATTCTGTTCGATAAACGAATTTATTTGGCCGACACAATATTATTTAGTGGAATGAATCTGTAAAAATGCGCAGATGGAATCAAATTATATATATATTAATCTTCCATTTCTGGAAATTAAACGATGTTTTGATTCCGAGCAAAAATACGTTCGACGCGATAACGTGCGAGTGCGTTTCCGAGTTGACGATGAAAATTATATGAGCGACAGCGCAATTCTTGGTAATCCGCAAATTGTTAATCGCGTCACGCCGAGCGTCGAAACTTTAAATTTAACTCCCGCGATTCCGCGCGCGAATACCAATTATTATTTTATTCGCAGTAACGCTTGCATTAGTTACCGAACAAAGGTCTCCCTTGTAATACAAAATTAAAGAAAGCGCCATTAATCATTCGGAGTTTCAGTTTTCTAATTACTGTAATTAAGGATTTCTCTTTAAAGCCAGTTCTTTTAAAAGCCGGTCACCGGCGTTGCGTCAATTTTAATAATTTTATAAAGGGATAATGCGTGGGACAACGTTCCACATTGTTCCACAAATTTTACATTAACCCAATTCGTTGTTTTTCATTCTCTTTTTCGCCAGCAATGAACCATCAATCGTAGTTATTTGCGGCTTTAATTATCTATAGAAATCCGATTCAATTTTTATTACACATAAATTATTTTGAAAGCTACGCAATTTATTAAAAAATCCAGCACATTTTAAAAGAGTTAAAGCACTATTATTTGTTTACGCAATAGATATCGATGTTTTTGTACGTTATTTTTTTAAGATATTTGTATTTGTTGCACTTTTTCTATTAAGTATCAAGCAATACATAGAATACGCACATTATATTGAATTCAATTATTATAATTAATATCCTTTATTTAAATTAAATTTCCTTTATTTACAAAACGTTTATTTAAATTGAAAAAAAGATATTGCAGAATTGAACGTTTAGTTGTTTAAGTTTCTTTGAGTTTTTTGTAGATTGCTTGAGCACGCTGGTCGGTTCTTTTGTCTGTCCCGTAGACGCTAGCCTTAAAGAGCTGTCCATAGGTGCGGGTGGCAAGAAAAACCGCCAGAAGGAGCGACGTTTGATGAAGGGTTTCAACATCGCGCCGCAACCGGGCGGAAGCGGCACCTTACCGCCCGTGGCGGAATTTATCGCGTCCCTTCAGCAAGCGCAGCACGAAAATTCCCATAATGATCTATTTGGCTCGACTCTTAGCGGCATATTCGGGCCGGGCGGCGCAACCCCGAAAAAGAGCCCACATCACACCAGCACTAATAGCGTGCCCGGTCTGGCCACCGGGCCGCGACAAAGTCGCGGCACCAGAGGTAGCTCCCGGAAGAAACGTTGGGGCACTCTGATCGAGGCGGCGAAGGCCGGAAGAGTCTCCAGATTGATCGGTAAGTTCAAAGTTACTTTTGCTATCTTTTCTATTAACCTTTTAATCAAATTGTTTTGTGTATAAGTAAAATTTTACTATTATTGTGGAAATGTGCAAAGCAGTACGTGTTTCGAAAATGTTAAATATAATTTAAAACAATAAACTGATTAAAATCACGATAAAAAGATATAAATATGGAATTCTTTCTCATTAGCCAAAATATTTTATCAATCAATATTTATTTCGTATTTCACATATACATGTATCGCGATAATTTTAATAAATATTAAAATTGTGAATATTCCGCAAACTATTCATCGTGTTACGCAGAGCGTTAAGAATTTAATTTTGTTTCTTATAAATCTCATGTCCTATGATGATTAACGATGCCGTTGGAAAAACATATAATTTTATTTTTTACATTGCGAAATGATAACAAGAGAATTGCTTTATAGATAAGCGGACATTATTCTCTCCTTCCAGGTAGATCTCGTTCGGAGGACTCGGTGTACTCGCCGGCGTCCGAGGACGGCGGATCGCGGTCCGAGGGTTCCTCGGACTCGAAATCCTCCTTGGAGGGAGCCAGTCACGATGTACAAAGCAGAACCCAGCACCCTCCCCCTCACGCTCACTCTCATCACGCGCATCATCACGAGACGCATCACGTGTTTAGCCACGGTCTGGGCCCGGCTCTGGCCGCCTTAAGAAAGAAGCGCAAGAAGTTCTCCGCCTCGCGGTCCTCCACACCCGCGATGACCGGCAGCACGAACACGAATCCCCCGGAATCGAGCGCGGTGCAGTCGGTCACCACCCTCCTGGCGTCCAGAGTCTACTCGAAGAAGCAGCTGCAGCGCGCGAGCAGCGTGCCAACCCGGGGTCCCGAATTAACGCCGCAGTCATCGATAATGTCACGACGACACGAGGTCACGCAGAGCCAGCAGCCCAGTCTCGATGTTGTTGAGATCGCCAGCATCAGCGAGCAGCGAGGTGCGCCAATATTGTGACATTATTAAGCTTGTTGATAAAGGCGGTCATTTAAACCTCTGATTAAAAACATCTGGTCTTTCATTAATTTCATTAAATTTGCACACCGGAGTTTATATAAATTTTAAATTTTTCTGAAATGTTTAATGTTTCTGAAAAGTACACAGAGAAACGAGAGTGAGAGATTGGCGTGACGCGGTCGCTGTTTAATTTTCAGGTGTCGTCAGTGCGGTTCCACTGACGCCGTCGACCACCGAGGAGAGCGTGGTGGCGAGCGGCTCGACGTCGATCACGGTGAAGCGAAACGGATCGGCGACGCAGCTGCAACACCTTCCTGGCATCGAGCCGATTTCCGGCCACGACGTGTCCACCGGCTGGCTCTGAGGAAAACGACGTGTCGCCGGCGGGCGGCAGCCGACAAGCTAACACAGGAGACATCAGTCGGAACTCAGCTTTGAGCTTCGTTTTCAACGGCCATGAGGCTAGGACGACGCCGACGATAATCGTGCGCGCACGCGGCACGACCGTCCCGACGTCGGCAGACGCACAATGATGCCTTTCTCGCGACGCGACGCGCCACGTTGATTAAAAAGCGACGTCGATCGGGAATCTCGAGGAACCCCCTTCCGCCTGTCGTCGACCCACTCCTGCCTTCGTGAATAAAGCATCTTTTATTCCTTCCTTCCTCCTGCACGACGTCTGGTAATGACGCGCAATGGCTCGAGGCTACAATTCTGATGTTATCGGTATGTTTTATTTATTTCATATTATTTTTTTTATTTTACATATATATTGATTTTCACTGATTCTCTGCACTTTATATGCGCGAAGGGACTTTGGCGATTATTCTGGTAAGTTTTTATCTTTTTCTTCTTTACTTTATATTGTTTTTTTAATTTAGACATATTGCAATGTCACTCGTACGCATTTTACTCGTTGATTTTATTAATTATTTCGAAATTAATAGAAATCACAAAATATCGTGCGATTGATCGCGGACTGCGGGAGTTCTCTCTTTTCTCTACACGACCGCAGGATCTTTTCGCGTGACCGCGCGATGATCAACGGTAGATTATACTGAAAACTACTACTATTACTATATACTACTGCCAGAACGGAAGTGGCATGTGTGGGTCGGCGGCGAATAGTCTAGTCAACACTAGTCAGAGAAGATCTTGTAACGGCAGGATGAAGAGGAAAAAAAAAACGGCAATTATTACATTATTAAGTTGAACTATCGAGGAACGACGAATTATACGTGATATCATATAAGTATCGCGAACAGACTCTATCGTACCTTCAGAGAGCTGGTCTACTGAAGAAACGAAACTCATAGCTTCCTAGCTCCTGTTAAGCTATTCTTTCTCTTCGGCGCTTCATTTCTTCTATATATTTCACAGACTTATACTCTAGTCATTAATCGATACAATCATTGCCAACGGACGATTTTTATTATTTTTTATTCTACAATAAAAATATGATAGCTTAGACACAGCGGCCGAGAAGATAAAGGGCGTCGAGAAGTAATTATGTAATAATTCTTCTGTAAGGATGATTACAGGGGGAGAGACAGTTGGATCCTTAAAGTTCTACTTCCTCAATATTCCAATCTAATTATAATCAGACGTTAACTTCGACTTTGCGATCGCCGACAAGTCGATCTTTAACGATCCAGCGCGCGCTTTCTGCTCACGTCGAGACTCTCGAACAGCCGCCGAAGTCCTTCGTCGCGTCGGCAAGAGAGAACGGCTGGATCGATTCGCGATACGCGGAAGGAAAACCGGAGAACAAGTGGCACGACCAAAGAACACGCCGTAGCACATAGTCGGGTAGTGGCCTAAAGGAACGGGAGGATCCGATACTATTTCCTAGATATTACGTATATGTTAATAATAATTATGATTATTGTTAATGTTAAACGGCACGCGCGGACCACGGGCGAATTCTCGAGAGGCGAGTCGCCCGTGAAGGGCACTGTCCAATCGCTCGCTCGCTTTTCGTCTCCCTACTTGTCACAGGTCTTCCCGTGGTCCCGGCAGCGCCGTAAAAGAGATATAGTCATTATTGAAGTGCTATATACTTACCAAGTGGACCAAATCACCGTGTTACATTGATTTAAAGAGCAATATTTTATTCTTTGAATGAAACAGCACTCGACAAGCGAGAGAGAGAGAGAGAGAAAACGGATGTAGAATACTAAATATCGAAGTTACTCGAAGTATTTAAAGTCGTATAACGTTGCACCGTGGAAGATGATCGACGAATCTGTTATTTTAATAGTGACAATTTGGCGCTCTTGGTAGATGTATAGTCATTGAATCATTATATCGCCTATGTGTATTATTTATATGAGATTATTAATGTAACTGTGTGAAGCTAGATCTCCAGTTGGTGGTAAGTAGCGAGTGTTCGTGTTGTGGACGAGGGAGAATGCCGTGAACAATGCACGCGAGCGGAAACGGCCGATTTTAATGGACGGGAAAATACAATGCGATACAGTTATTCGAATAAAACGACAGTCCTGCGAGTCCGATCGAATTTTCTCACGATTGCGAGGGTAAGAGAAACTGGCAGGACGACTTCTATTCGCAAAATTCCGCGTGTCCTCGCGCACAAAACACACATACGTCACGGAGGATAATGGAAAATCGTGGTAAGATGGAAAAACCTCACGAGAGCACGAAAGTTTTGGATGTTTTCCAAAGACAGCTGATTGCAATTTGAAGTCCGCGGGCTGGATTACGGGCGCATGAATCACGGTGTTGCAGCGTAAAGATAACAAGCGTGATACCTAAGGCATTAATCGGCTCGAGTCGTATGCCGCTCGAGACAATATACTACGTTTCAAAATGCGGTGGCGCGAATAAAAAACGAGGGACGGGAATATTAATTGCATTTTCTGAATTTCGAGTCTAATTTAAATTGCTTTTTCCTATATATATACATTTTACGATATAATATTAGCAAACTGTGTGTCGAGCACAAAAAAAAGACCCTTTTCCATTGTTTCTATTTGACGCAATGCCGGAAATTTAATACTACGATTAATCGCTTTGTCCGATAATCACAATATTAATTCGCTGCACTGTAAACGATGGTGTTTGCGTTTAAACATAACGCAGCGAGAGATAAATGTTTCATCCGACGTAAAGCGATTATATCGACTCCGCATTGTAGTGTGTTGATTGAAATTCGATGGGAATTAGCAGACAACAATCGACACAAAATGACCATTAATAAAATATCATTTATTCTGATACATCCGTTTATTTTGTACCCAGCATTTGTTGCGAGGATAAAACACAGCGTAATACTTGAATGATCGATTCATAAAAAGGCAGCATCGATAGTGAAGGATTGGCAGTAATGTACATCGATAATTCATAAAAGTACCGATTGATATTAATTCTGGGATGTGAATCAGTTACAAAACAGTTCGTTCAAAAATAACATTCAATTTGAACACGATCGAGTAATGGAAAATGCAATGCTTTTAATAATAAAATATTTTCAATCGAGTCTTTTGTGTTACTGTCTTTACTAAAAAAAAAAAAACATACAAAAGCACAAGCGCAGAAATAATTAAAAAAAAGCAGATTACAATAATTTATATTATACGTGTATATGACTTCAATCATATGTTCGAAGATTAAAAATTTACAGAGATTTACCATTACAGGTGTAATTAAATTACTCTTTTTTTATAAATCCTTTTTTGAGGAAACCCTAGGATGCTTACTACGTATATTTCCCAATTTAAATGCCATCGAGTGTGCGCGTGGAGCTTCTCTGGACTCAAAATTCGCACGGTGCGAGCTCGCACCGATAACGGCGATGCAGCTTTTCGGGCAGGAACGTCCGCCGTTGGCAGCTTCTCGCTAATTAAAGAAACACGATAGACACGAACAATGTATAATTGATGCAAAAATTTCGAGTGATTAATTAATCGTGCGTTTTGATAACCGCGCGCACCGCAAATCCATCCCGTAAATAATGCGCGCGTAATCGCACGGGGAATAATTAACTTACCTCGATGGTGCGATAACTCGTGACACGGCCGACGCCGCAAGTGACACTGCACGGCGACCAATTTGACCAGCGAGTCACCGCGCAGTCTACGGGGAGAGCGGGAGGATTAAACGACGCGCTGAGTGCTTGACTCTGGTTTACGGTCTCGTTAACTGTCTGACCCGTGAGAACGGCTCGCACCTAGGGACAAGAATCTGAATGACTTCTCGGTTCTGCTCACGTTTCGAGGGATAAAACATTCACGCTCACGATGCCACAGGTGTTGGTGCACTCGTCCGCCGTGAGGAAGTTGTTCCGGTTGCCGCGGCATCCGCCGTACGCGAACGGCACGCACATCAGTTTCTGCTGATTGAAGGCCCAACGCTGGAAGTAGCCCCTGCACGGTCCGGGATCTGCCTCTTCCATACACACGACTATAAAAAAAGAAGAAATAAAAGACGTGACAGGTTGAACCGAAGTCGCCAGGAAGGCGTCGAGGATTTGCATGATGTTTGATTATACGGAACACGGCCGAAGTGAAATATCTCTGCGCTGCTCTATCGTTAACACTGCTAATTATTACCCTTTGCGGTTGCCATGTCGAATGTACAGTCCGATTGGATGAGACACGGTCGTTGCTGCAGCAGTTCTACGCGCGAGGAACACTCCGTTTGCAACGACGGGTCGACCATCAGCAGCCTGGTCCGTAATTTCACACCTCTGCCGCAGGAAGCACTGCACGGCGACCAGTCGGACCATTCCGTCACCTTAAATCGTCACCGACTGTTAAATCACCGGCGCGGAAAATTTGTCCCGCGACAAGAATCGCGTAACGCCGCACCTTGCACACGGGATCAATCTGCTCCTCCGCGCCCACCGCGCAAGGCGGCTCCATGCATTTCTCTTTCTCAACGAGCGACACGAGCGGGCACCGTTTACGACCGCGACGATCGCGGAATCTCCTCGTCCGCATTTTCAAGCCGATCCCGCACGTGTTCGAGCACTCCGACCACGCGCCCCAGTCGGTGGTTTCGCAAAGCGGATCGTTGCTCGGCGACGCGATTACGTCGTCGTCGCTCTCCACCTCACCTCTGAAATAACATGCAATTTTCGGATACGCTGAAAAAACTGATTGGCAATAGTTATCAAATACATTTAGTTGTGAATGAAATATTTGATAATTATTACCATATTTGATAATAGTTACTAAATCTTCAATTGATCCTGTTAAAAAATTTTGTTCATAATTGAGTCAATTAAACAATTTAGTAATAATTATTAAATATTTAATACCTGTCAAAAAATCTTTAATGATTGTAATTAAATATTTGATAATATTATTAAATTATTCAATTCAACTTTATCAGATATTTGATAATTATTACTAAATTATTTAGTTCAGCCAACATATTTGGTAAAAAATTGGTAATTATTACCAAATTTTTTGTCAGTAACGCTTGTTGGTTGATTAATGCCAACATCCGCGAATACTATACTGCGTATATATAATTTAGTAACAGTTACCATATTGTTTAATTTTTTGTTACCACGATTTGGTGATAATTATCAAATATTTGATAACACTTATCAAATATTTTATTTTTGCTATCAAAATTTGATTACAGTTATCAAAGTTTTGTTGGAGAAATCAAATTCGTAATTGAGTGAATTAAATTTAGATTTTCTGAAATAAATATTTCATTCGCTCAATTAATTCTTTTTGTAATTGTTACCAAACATTTACTTAGCACTATTTAACCAAATCATTTAGTAATTGTTATTAAATCCTAGTATCTACTACTAAATCCTTTTTTAGTGTACATTTATGCAAAGATCGGATTTATCTTGCAAACGCGATTGACGTTTGTACAATTAATGCACAATTTAAGAGAATTGAAATATTTTTTTAATTCTTTTAGAAACAAGATAAATATTTATTCGTAATGCACTCACGAACACTCTGGAATAGACGCGACACACATTTCCTTCGAGACCAGCTGCCTATTGCAATTGAACATGGAAGCTTTTTCCGGCATTCTATACGACCTCGTGCGCATTCTTAAGCCCTTGCCGCAGGTCACCGAACACGTCGACCACGGCGAGTACTCCGTCGTGTGGCACTCCGCTTTAAATTCACAGAGCAAAATAAAGCCAAATTACTTCCTTCCTTAATTCGAGAATAAACACGGCGTCTCTATTAGCTTTTAACGACGCTGCTAAAATGTCATGCACGATGATGCTCTAAGAAGAATTAACTTATTAAGCCGCAGTAAACGAGATCGTTGAAACTCGTCATGTACCCTTGTTGAAGAAAATATGCACATTATCACCGACTATTCGCGCGAAGCTTAGAAAAAAAATATTTAAACAGTAATAATATACGTCTCGACGTGTCCTCGGTGTTCTCGGCCACTTCTAATTCGGCTACTTGCTGCTGCAGGAGCTGCTCGCTGCATCCGCGCGAGATGATTTTCTCCCTGTTGAGGTACAATCTCGCCAACGGGTGCATAGGTCTACCAGACGGATCGTAGAACGGGGATCGCGGATCTTCCGGATAGAGCGTCGTTATCGGTCTCATTTTCTCGCGCGGTTTCGTCTCGGAATTCGGCGACATGTAGCTGATGCCGTTGTCGGTGCCGCCGTCCCAAGGATAAAGATCAATTATCATGCTTTTCGTCCAGGTGCAGTCCTTCTGGCAAAAGTTCAACTTGCTCACTCCCACCACCCAATCGGGAGATGGACCCAGCATGGAAGCTACTGAGAGAAGAGGATGTTTTCGGTCCACCCTGAAAATGAAAAGTCGACAGTTCACTGAATTGTTACCATCGACAATTAGAAGTCTCTCTCTTTCTCTTGCCTCGCGCGAAGAAAACGGATATTAAAAAATTATACTCGCGAGCAAGAGAGACGATCACCTGAAGCTCGTCGTCGTGTTGGTATTGACATTGGGATACCAAAGACCGGCCGCCTTAATGAGTGTCCTGAGCTGACTGGATTTCTCTCTCAGTTCCGCTTCGACACCCGTCGCGGAGCCCCACTCGGCCAATTGTCGAAAACCGTCTGTGGCGATGTGATCTCTGCCCCAGAACGAGAAATTTGGCTCGTGCGATGCGCCGATAACGTCGCTGAAATGGGTCAACCAGGCGGAAAATGGGAAGTCCTTCGGGTGAGTTCTATTCGACCAGATGCCCTCCATAGTTAACTGAAAAAGTGTGCGACAAGATGCTACGAACGATTGCGGCGGTCCATTTATTTGTCCATCCTCGAAACTTCCGTAGAACATTACATTTCATCGAAAATCAAGTAAGAAGGTTGGAAGAAAGTAGAAGCGCCACGATAAATTGAAAAATAAAGATGCAACTATTTACGAACTTAAGAAAAGTATACGTTAATGGGACAGATATCTGCTGAACTTGTCGAGAGATTTGATTGCTCACCGAGTACTTCGCTTCATCGCAAGCACAGCATTTGGTCTCGTCCGAATTTTGAATCTCCTCGTCTGTCGATTCGCAAACGATCTTGGAGAGAGCGCCATCCTCAGCGTACCATCGTACATTGTTCTCCAAGATCATCGCGGTGAAAATAACGCACCCGGAACCAGCCACTGGTGCCCGCCACATCACCTGGATCTGTGGAAAGAATTTTCGTATTTTTATATTGTTTAATATATAGAGTCATAAGATGAATCACCTCCGATTTTGGGAAATCGGTTGCTTCGGAAATCGTGTTGACGCAATCCTCGTTGAAAGTAGTCAAGGAATCCGGAAACAGCTGGAAATAACCGATGCGGGCCGAGAGATTATTCGGCGTGTACTGCGAGTGCACCGTCAGCGTGAAGCGTGTGAATTGCTGCAGTCGCTCGTGCGTTCGCGATCCTGAAATTTTAAGAGTTAATCGTCCCTGAAGAATAGCGATGTCGCAAAATTTTCGCATCGCAAAATTTTCCGGCAACGTCATTTATTTTCTTGTTCGCGATTTAAACAATTTTCCCGGGAATAGAACCTTGTAAACTAATTGTATGGACAGCATTGGGAATGTATCCGTTTGTTTGTCCGCTGATGAGAATCCTGTAGCCACCGTCACCCGGCGTTCTGTCCACGGATGTTTGCCCCACCGTCGGTCTCATAGGACATCCGGCGTGAGTCACGGCGACGAAACACGCCGTCAGTAATAAGAGTAACATTTTGGAATCTGGAAAATATTTTAACGTAGCACACAATTTCACATTTGTCTCCAGTTTATTTAAAACGGTTTGTGATAAAATATAATAGGAAATATTGGCTCGTCAAAACTGCTTCGCGATATCTTCGGTGCGTCATTGTGCAGTTTTATAAGAATATTTTATCGTATAATATTATGCGGAAGTTTTATTTCGTCGCAAACGTTATTCAACCGCTATTTTTGATTATTCCCGCGAAGTTTGCAAAACGCGAATGACGTTCCGGCGAATTGTCCTTGAATTCACGCCTCGCCTGGTCTGTTAAGAAAATTGCCGCAATTGACAATATCGTGAAAGCAAGCTGAATCTCAGCCGGTTCTTTAAGCATCATTGTTAGAATTTATTCTGAAGCGGCGAAGCAGAGTACAAACCGAAAGCGAATCTTGCCGATCTCTTTTAAACGTTATTGTTGGACTCAATTTCAAGTGATAAATCACCGCAGGAGTACCTTGTGCCATAAAGTGTATAATCGCGAGTGGATCACAGTCGAGCGTGATTTTGTAATCGCGAGAGAACGGAGCTCGTAATTGCTAGCACGCGCGCGAGAATCGAAAATTTACAATCAAGTAATATAATATAATATTCAGATTATTATTTGGCGGTTAAAAAGGAAGGATCAGAAATTTTAATTTTTCGTTGAACAAAACGTAACTAATTCTAAGACTGTGAAGATAATAATTACTGCAACGTCAAATAACGATTAAAATAATTATTTAGTTTTTTTCTTTCTTTGCGTTGATATCTAGAGCGCGCGAATAGATACTTTCGATCCTAGCAAGTGTTGAAATTGATCGTGCGAGTTCAACGACATAATAGCTATTGCATACATTATTCGCCACTCAATTCTCGCAACGACAATGGAGAAGGAATTTTTTTTGTACGGAGAAGGGATCGTGAGAGTGTTAATAATGTCTTTGCAGAGAGATTTTCCCATAAATTGCAATTTCCGCGAAACACAGGAGAGGATAATCATCATAACTGCGATATATTTGCAATGAAGCAGCACTTTGTGAATCTTGATCGTTTCCTTTTTTTATCGCGCATCAAGTGATATCGCGTGACCATCTCGACGCACAAACCCGTGAAATTTATGATAATCAATCCGATCGCGTGTGAAAGATTAAGCTACATTCGAGATTGATACGATCCGTGTCAAGATACACGGCCGCTCGCAACCTGTGATTACTACAGTTAATGAATGCCTTCGCTAATAAACAAGTCTTTTACAAGAAAAGTTAATCAAGAAAGCTTCAGGCAAAGAAAAACGCGACTTTCTTAAGGTATATATTACTCTCTTAATCTTAATTATTAAATGTATATAATTATAATTACAATTATTAAATATATATAAATATAAGTAAGTAACACATAAAAAACTTAATTAAAAGAAAATTTAAAAGAAATCGATATTTAGTGTTTTCAGTTTTCTACACGGAGAAAATTTTATATCAAAAATTACTATGTACAGCAGTAGCCGCGGACTGCGAAAGGAATTATAAAAATTTTTACTATATTTTTCATACGTGAAATATAGTAAAAATTTTCGGTCCGCGACTTCATGGTCCGCGGTCACTGCCGTACATAGTAATTTTTGATATAAAATTTTCTCCGTGTATACATCGGAGCATAATGTACATTTTTCATTACAGAAACAATGAGACGCGGAACGAAGAGTGTTGAAAAAAAGAGAGAGACTTTATGTATTCTCAGCTTCGAGATCTTAATGCAACGAAGACGAAGCGCGTGTCCGCATATTCGATGCGTCCGATTACGGTCGAGCAGCTGGGAACTGGGTCGGGACTCGTGCCAATCCGCTCCGACCGGCTTTCGAGATCGGCGCTCTCGACGATGCATGTAGGTAGGTGTAGGTTTCTAGAACGCTAGTCAAGCGCAAACGAGACGGCGAGAAAGAGCAGCGGCACAGTGTGCACGACCCCGTGAGGCCGGAAATTGCAGAATGCGCGAGATGCATCTCGTTCTTGCGCGCGGCGTGACTATTTCGTACCTACCGTGCTCTGATTCAGATACACTCCGTCCTGTCGTGAAACGTGACAGGGTGCAAGAATTATGAGAATTTCTTGCCATTTTCTACATATATATATATATTATAATCTTGCAAATATATATATATATCATGATTGCGCGCAAAAATCCACAGCGTGATAAATGGAATAAATATTCCCAAATATATTTTTTATAAAAATAAACTTTCTGCGAATATCGAGCGTTTAATATAATTTTCGCGATAAAATTAACTATTGCTAAACACAATTTGCATTCTGTCAAGCGAGATAAAAATATGGATAAGAACAATCGATCGACGACAAATGCGAAGAAAATTTTTACAACTATCTACTTTCGCTACTTTCGCAGTCGGATCCTTTTTTTTTATATGCACCTTGTAGTCGTTGTTCACTTCTCACTTCACGAACATTTATATATTGCACAATTATTCGTGAATTTCGCGCCGATCGGTCGAAATGATCGCGTAGTCGAGCCTATCGGTGGCAGCCGCTACTCTTCGCGTGTATACACGCGTGAAAACTGATGCATACATGACGCACTGCCAAACTCGGCCCTCGACTGTATCCCTACTCGCTACTCGCGTGGGTGAGCTTACGCGTGGCATAGCGCGCTCGCAATTAGCGGAATAATTAAGTGACTCAGTTTTTAAGTTCAGGTAGCGGCGATCGGCGATCTACTTCATACTTTGCGCTTAACATGCTGTCGAAAATGCGTATGATCGATTTATGTATATTTCTACTTTCTATATTTCGTATTGTATCATTATATTACAATGCGTTTGTATTATTATTATTATTATGTTTTTCACGATATTTTTTTAACGTAGCGAGATTAGTTTTATTACGTTTCTGCATACTGCAATCTGCAATGCATTTTTGTGATATTCAATCATATCTCTTCGTTAGCAAATTGCACCCGTCAGAAAAGTGTATGGTTAATTGATTCGAGTTTTATGCGATGTTGCTAGCACATGAGATTTTTTTTAAATTACTATATATAGATAGCAATCTGCAATGCATCTTCTGATATGCAATCATATTTCATCTTTAAAACTGATTCCATCAAAGAGGTATGCGGTTGATTAGATTGATTTCCAGAGCACACGATAAGATTTTATAATACTTTGCTTTTATCCAAATTTCAATTATGATAAATACGTAGAGTTAACTGATTCGTATTTTTATTACCTGCGATATATTGCTAGCAGGATAATATTTTCTCAATTACTACATGCAAATAATTTGCAACACATTTTCACGACAAACAAAATCGTATCTTATTAATCGTATTTTATCGATCATAAATTTGTTTGATTAATTTGCATTTTTATTTTCTACCAAAAATATTTATTACGCAAGTAAAATTTTATGACATTTTATTTGTAGAAAATTTTATTTACTTTACGATTCATTAATATGTATTTTTATTTCTCTTTATTCTTTTCAGGATAATAAATTTAGGACAATAAATTCTATAATTTTGTGTTTGATAAATTGTTCTTAACAAATACATTTAATTAATTATTTTGTGCTCTGTTTATCGCTAGCAATATGGTTCCATTTAGATAAATCACAATTCTTTACACAAATCATTATTAGAAATAATTATAAAGACACAATTATAATGCCACATTGTTGCACGACGTCTGTATTCTATCTTTCAATTTTAACGAGCTATAATACAAATAAACATAGCAATTCGACTAACGGCTCTGCCTGATTCATTATACATGTATTCGCCGAAATCATTATCATACAACAAAGCAACACAGATTGATCAATTAATTAATAAATTTAACCAGACGTGATAGACATTTAATTAAACATGTTGGTGCGCGCTTTTTCATACAGAACGATCGCAAATTGACCACAATGCTCGACTGACAAACCACTTGATGATTTATTTATAAAGCACAAAATTTCAGCTTACAAAGCTTTCAGAAACCTTTTTAAAATGGCATGAATCTAAAAATGGATCTTGTTATAAAGGCGACATATTAACGCGGCCTTTATTAATTCACATAATTCTGCGGTGGGCGATAATCGATATTGCCTTACGACTGTTCCGCTAAGCACTATGTAATCCTCCCTTTCATCCTTTAAACAGTAAACTCCATTCAGCATTCAACGAAACTCATTACAATTGCAGTACACATAGTTTACCGTGCTATTTCCGGTGCGCGCTTTCGCTTGTTTATCCAACGCGTGTTTATTCACTCGGCAATTAACACACGCGAGAAACACGAATGAGCGCAAATTTCCGAAGACACACTCGTATCGTATTCGCGCGAGGGTAAAACCGGAAACCCGCCCGACCGTCGTCGGATATAATTCGCGGAATGGCGGAACGTCGCGGAGCGCAGCTTCTTTTATGACGCTGCCTGGTCCTTTCACGCAGTGCTCTTCGGGGTGTTTCGCCTACGGTCAAATCTGACGCGATTCTGAATGCTTAACAGTCACGACGCGTGGCTCTTGTCAAGCTGTTAATTGAGAGCACTTCTGTTGAATTTGATTTTAATAAGACTTGAATCAAGCGTGTGAATTATTTATTGTATATGACGTGTTACATTTCCGTAGATCTGAAGCTAATAATTCATGAAAGAATAGCTTTTCTATAAAAAAAAAAAAAAAGAGGAAATTGCTTTATGAATATTCGATAAATTCGTATTCGCAAAACTAACATTTCAGATTTACACGATGCAATCACAAATACAGAACAGTTCGAGAAACTTAATATGACAATACATATCTGCATACCGGAGAAACTTGGCACCGCGGGGACTTGAAACTTCATTAACATGCCGATGGATCCGCCGCCTAAATATACCGTATTTATTATACAAGTAATACACATTAATTAAGCGCGCAACATATTCTATCGTCGACGATTTAAATTTCATGACATAATCTACATTAAAATTACAAGGCGAAAGTTCCATAGTATTAACAATGTTATTAATCACGTTATTAATCATGCTGATCGCGTTTCGACGGACCCGAGATGAAACAAGATTCTTATTTGAATGCATAAGCGATCGCGGAGATCGCGGTGCTCGCGCGAACACGATATGTTCGTTACGTAATCGAGATGCAATAACGGATCGATTAGTCACAGATCACCTACGCGGTGCATTCTAACGCGCTCGATTGTCGATTCGAGCGGGTTCGTAAGAATCGCGCGTACTCACCGACTCGATTTCAGATGCCCACGAATATTCTCGCTGGACGATTCGATGGACACTGAAAGAGATTGACGAACGCGTGGCACTTTGTCTCTCGAGTCAAGCAACAATATTGCGGAACTTTTATCGGGAGTCACGGGGTCAGGTCAATGTATATCGCTTCTGGCAACGTCGTCTTCGAGATAATGCGGAAATGTCCGCGATAAACACCCACGGGACGTTCGAAGATACGTATATCTTTAATCACAGTTTCTGTCTGCTTTTCTATGATTTCTCTCAGATTTTGGATTATTCACGCCAAAAAGAAATTTTGTTTTCTCAAAACAACTGTTGTCTTAAATTATTAATTATTTTTTTCTTTTATTTTATTTATTTTTATTTACTCGTTAATTTTACATCGGCGTGATATTTTTAACGCGTTTTCAATAATCGCAAAAAATTATATTCGTGAAATTAGATTAACGAAGAGAGTAAATAAGTGAAACAGTGAGCGCATTTGCAAAAAAAAAAACTGCATTTATTTATTATGAAAAATGCATAATCTTTATTCTGCTCCAGAAAATAAATGAAAAATTTAACTGCCTGTTAAAAAAATAGTGCCATTTTATCTTATACCGGGTGTCTTTCGAATACTGCGCCTTGGCAACGATGACACAAACGACGTGTGACGTACGCATGCGTCACATTATCGACAAACACACTCGGCACGGTCAGTCGCGGCCGAGCCGCGCCGCGTGTGGTGCTCCGATTCGATGTCTCTCCTTTCATCGACCTTCTGATATTTTTTTCCCGTCTACGACGCGTCGCACAACCGTTGATTTTCTCCGATCGGTGCGACTTTCAACTTCGGCAAATGGAGCGACAAGCGAGAACGTCGTGAAATCTCCCTTGTCATCGTCCACCATCGTCTATCGTCGTCGTCGGAGTAGTTTTCCAAGTGCGCCGGTCCCCACGACAGGCCGAATCGGCCGGCTGTCGCGTACGCCGTGCCTGATTCGTCGGGGCCAAGGACGCTCCGTAAACACAGAGAGACGGCTCGCGCTCGCCTGACAGGTGTTGAAAAACAAAGACGGCAGTCTTATCAAGCGCGAGAGGAACGATCGGATCCGGGGGGGAGACGCGACACGCGAGCTCGTGTCGTCGGCCATGGCAAGCCTGGCGAGCAGCTCGTCGTCGGCGGGCTTGACCAAGGCCCCGACGATGTTGGAACAGTTACTCGAGGAGATCAATTTCCAGAGAACGAAGGAGCTCAGGCAGATGCTCAAGGATGGTTCGTATGGCCGGATGTGGTCAGCATGTTTGTCTTGTTAGGGGATGATCCCGTGTACGCGTGGCTGGACGCTGTGACAAGGGCGAGAATGAGCGCGTGGCCGATTTAGGGTGTGCTCCGGCGAACGAGTTATGTAAAGGGTGTTTCGCTTTCGAAGGGTTGACTGACCGAAAAAAAAAATATAGGATTGTCTCGCTTGAATTTTGGGGGTGCGTTTCGAGAAGATCGTTAAATTGCTCTTCTCGTTTCGAAGCGAACCTTTTCATTATTTTCGAAACTGTTTTTGAAATTTCAGAACTGTTCGCGCGGTAGGAGAAGCTGCTCGCAACGTTTCTATTTTATCATGATTATTATGTAACTAGTTTTACCTTATTGTCTATTTATTTTTTATTTATTTTAATAATTTTATAAATGTAATAAAAATTGTTTTTACACACAAAGTTGAATGTTCTGTTGTAATGGTATACATTTGCATACCTTGGAAGCTTGAAGTCCACAGAACAACGCAGACGAGGTTTTTAACAGATACAAAAAAAAAAATAGGAAGAATTTTGTAGTGTTAAAGTTTATTTAACGATGACACGCAATGACTTTATTTTTTCGAACGCTTCAATTAATTAGATTAATTAATTTCCTCATTTAGTTTGCTTGTTCTTCTTAGCAACAGAATTATAAAAATTTTTCCACTCGCTTTATTTAAATACTTCATACATCTGTCGGAGGAATTCCTTCGTGATGCACGCATTATAATCAAGTTTATGACTATAGCTCTTTATGATTGCATCACGAACCATTCATTCATCCGCCCGTCAGCGGATACCATTCGTTATCCATGCGTTTCATCTTTATATTACATTAGATGTATTGATTTACTTTGTCATGTAAAAATACACGACAATTACGGCATATTAATAAATGTTTATTTGCTCTCATCACCTTGTGTTTCGCATTATCCCGCTTTCTTTTATGTGCTTGCACAACACCGCCTTTTATTTAAATGTAGAATTTTAGAAAAAATGGTTTGAATGCACGTATTCAAAAATCATTTGTCGAAATACTGTAATTAACAATATAAGTAGCGTAATTATTAGAGTAATAAAATTTATAAAAATCGTTGAAGGTTATTTAAAACATTCAGTTTCTTATATAGTCAGACCTTCTCCTCGTCATATAACCGCGTCATATAGGTATCGATTACCTGATATTTCCCGCCTCTTACGTTCATTATTATGTCTCCCCCTTTTCGATATACCCTTTCGCGCGTAACGTCCAATCGATGAAGGGTGAATTTGGTATTAGCCGATGTCGCGTCCTTGAAAAATCGACCGCATCGCGCGGACTTCTCAGCCGCGTCTCTAGACACATGCAAAATTCTTTTGTATTTCTCTGATCAGATTCCGGATTTGTCGTACTGCAAGGCACAACGTACTGGACGGATTTGTTCGTCCGCCACTTCCTCTTTCAAGCTGAGCACACCATCGACGGCGACGACTTGCTCTTCTTTGTCCGGAAGAAGCACGTGAAGACCTCGTCGAGGTATTTGCCCAAGTTCGAGACCGAGGTCGACGTATTTCGCAAGGACAGCAAGAAACTGCCGATCGGCGATCCCGACATCGATTGGGAGGAAACCGTGTACCTGAATCTCGTCGTGCATCAATTCGACTACACGCTCACCTTAGCGATCTGCACGAGAACGAGCCCCAAGGAATTGCAAGTGAGAATCGGCTAGATGACACTTGTGAAACTATTTCCGCAGTATTCTCGATCGAATTATATTTCTTTTCAACAGCAGATTCAATTTGCAAACCAATTATTTCTTAAGGGGATCCCGGAGTCGTCTGTTTTACCGATTTCGTTTAAATAGACTTTATTTATTTTTTTGGCTGTTTAGAATGAAAAATCCTTTTCTGTAATTAAAGTACATCTGCTAAAACAGGTACCGATCTGTTTTACCTTCTATTTTTTGTACAATTCTTTTTTTTGTGTGGTTTTGTGGAATGACAAATCCTTTAAAATCGACGGTCCACCCTGTATTAGCATATGTACTTTAATTACAGAAAAGGATTTTTCATTCTACACAGCCAAAGAAAAGTAAAGTCTATTTAAAAGAAATCGGTAAAACAGACGACTCCGGGATCGCCTTAAAAATTCAATATAATACCTCCTCTTTTAATGTGTCTTAACTTTAAAATTTCTTTATCACTTAAAATCTTCTAATGTATACAGCTTCGCGATTCTTTTCAGGTATTGCGAAGGCATTCTCAGAAAGTGTACGCCAGTCCGAGTCGACGGCGTATGGACGCCAAGGGTGACCTTGAGGAAATGACGTACCCACACATATGCTTCATGGTGGACAATTTCGATGAAGTTTTCTGTGATATTTTAGTAAGGGACGGGGAGATGGTGTGCGTGGAGCTGGTCGCTTCTGATCGGGAAGGCGCGATACAGGGCGTCATTTTTCTCGGCTCGATCAGATACGATGCTTTGAAGAAAGTTTACGACGCGAGAGTGAGTTTTATCGCTTACAATCGACGCGTATAGCAGCGTTATCCAATTTACATGTGCGAAATGACGATCCTTTTTTATTTTCAGTCAAGTCTGAGCACCAAAATGGCACAGCGGATGACGTTCGGCCTTTTCTCCGGCGCGGCCTCGCAAAGAATAGAATTCGTGCGCATGAAGGGACCACGTGGTACGAACATTTTATCAATTAAAAGTATTGCGCCTTCTTCACATTTATTAATATAACAAACGTAAACTTTCTTTTTAAGTTTTTCCGTTTATTTGTCACGCGGAAATGTAATCAATCATTATTTAGGCAAAGGACACGCGGAGATGGCTGTCACGAAACCGAAGGGTTCCGGCGCAGAAACGCCGACGTCGGAACCGGGTTATTGCGCGACCGACGCCCTGTGGGACGCCGACTGGGACGACGCCGAGGAGCTCTTCATGTATCGCCATCAACGAAGGCTGTCCGATCCCAGCGCAAATCTGAACAACTTCGTGCGCGGCGGCTGGAGAACGAAGCCGGACACGGCGGCCACGAAAGCGAGATCGGAAAACGAGGGTCTCGATTCCATGGCGAACGGTCTCAACGAAATCGAAGCCGGTGACGTGCGAGATGGTAATTATCCGAAGCGCCGATACACACGAAGTCGAAGACAGACTTGATACTTGCTAGATCTTTAATTAGACACTCTTAGAGCGGTATTCATATCCTGCATTTAGCTCTCTGAATGTGATAGTTTGATTTTGATTCGTTTTTTAACATGAAGACAACGCATATTGTTATTGCGAATCAATTGTGTGACGCGGACAGCACGTAGTTTGTATAATACTCAGCGCACAAATGTGGGATATGGACTTTAGTCTTTCTCTTCTCAATGTATTTCGTTCGCATCCACTCTCGGTCTGCGCATGCTCCTGTGTTGTACCTGTGTAATGCACAATTGTCTTGATGTTATCAGGCATATAGACCGCCCTCCTTCTCTCTCGGCAACACATATTTTCTCGACGCTGGCAATTCCGCATAGACTGACAAATCAAATCTTTGAGAGAAGCGAACGATAAATGTCTAAGAAACGAACGCATGTGTACGTTAAAAGAGAATCTTTCTATACAGACTCGCGTCCCAAACGTGTCTCATGTTCTCTCCTTCCGTTTGAACGATCAGTTCAGTGCATTTTCATAGCATTGACATAGTAGTAGAGGAATGCTATATAAAATTAGACGTGCGAGAAATAGAAATACACCGAGAAAAGAACAGATTCTAAGTTCTACTATCACTAAACACCACCACCACCACCACCACTATAACCATTACACACTACCCTCCGGATCGAAGTCGCGCATTGCCGAGAAAGATGACAGAAAACTGACAAACGCGAACGAAAAAAAAAAAAATTAAAAAAAATAATTAAAAAAAAAAATTTTTTCTTTTTTGGTTCTAATCATTGATGACGTGCCATGCCGGCTCTTTCCTTTGTAGCCGATGTACAGGATAGCGACTGGGGCGGCCGGGGCTCACCGGGCAACCGTAGGAGGCCCTGCTCGCTCCGCCGGCGAAGATCGCCTCATCTGCCGTCGGCCCGGCAACAACACCCCGTCCACAACAAGCAACGTAACGCCCGGGAGCAACCCGGGACGAATGAGAACTCGCCGATACGCAAGGAGGCGATCTATCGCGAGACACACGGTGAGTGTGCTCGTTCGCGCTGAAAAACGATCAGTCCGATCAAGTCTCTCCTGTCTCTGCTCTCGCTTCTTGTGTGACTAGTAGAACTTTGTGTCGATTAGCTCTTTAACAAAGTACCATCGTGTTCCGTGTCCTTGGGATGAGCTTTGACGCGAATACTTAATTTCTTCACTAAAATCGCAGCAAAATCGTTGAATTCTCGATTTCTTTCGCCACTTCACGCTCCGTCATTTCGAGCGAATTGAAAAATTGATTAAGAAAGCTAACTCGCGTTACGGAAAGACAAAGCGCAAAAAAGAGACTAGGAGCACGATCGTTTGTAGCCGCGACACGGGTGCAATCGCCGTCTAAATGACGACGTGGTTCTCGCGGCAGGTTTCCACAATCACCAGCAGAACAATCATCAGCAGAACCACCACCAGCACCAACACATAGAGGTGGGCAGCGAGATCTTAGTGCCGGCCGGCCGTTGCTTAACGGACGACAACGTACGACAGAAGCTAGACTCGGGCGCGATAATGGTGCACGGCAAGGAGGAACTGCCGCTGGGCTACGACGTGGCGACCGAGGACAATAACCGGAAACGACGGCCGTACAGCGCCGGGCACCTGCTCAACCACTATAACGGCTTGGAGATCGAGGAGGACGAGGAGCGCAAGCGGCTCAGCGACGACGAGCTCCTCAGGGTGAGGCGTATGGACGGCCGGCGCCGTCTGCGGAGCGCCGGCTCCGATCACGAGGACTACGCCAACGGGCAGAACAGGAACAAGAACGACGAGATCAGAGACAGAAACGCGAACGCCCATCACGTGACGCGCGCCAACGGCGACGTCGCCGCGCGTCGCCAGAGCGCGACGCTGCCCCGAAGACGACGTCGCAGGGCGCTCTCTGGCAGCTTCGCGGGTAACCCTTTGCCCCCGCATCGCGTCACCCCCGACGGCACCGCGATCTACTACTGGTGCGAGCTCCCGCGCCGCCCCGGCTCACAGGGTAAATTCTTCCTGTCCCGACTCCCTCCCCCTCACCCCCCACACTCACCCCTGAACAACATCACCCCTTTGTTCCTTTGTCCAAAAGTCGAGAAACTGATCTTTCAATCCAGAAATAATCATCTCCGCTGTATCGATTCGCTGTGTGTAACGTAGGCGCGCGCTACCTTAATCCAGAGCAATTCGTTTGGCTGTGAGCAATGACTGTGTTTATGGGATGGTGAAATGAGAACAGTCATGATTGCGTGCATGATGATGGAGGGTGGTAGTGATGGTGGTGGTTTCTCACAAAAGGCTATGCGAAAGAGAGGATGACGAGCGTTTGTTTAGAAAGCAGCTTTCGGTCCTGCAAAATGATTCCCGATCGCGAATTTCACCACCGGTAATAAGCATAGTCATCGAAAGTAGGTAGATCAATTAGCTTGCTTCATTAAACGTTAACACTAACTCCACTTTAATACAAATCGCAAGGGAAAAGTTGACGAAGAGAAAAAAAAAAAAGACATTTAGATATTCAATTCTTGCTGTAGTAAATAGCGACTGTGTATTATGCGATATTTTTCAGCAGATGTGCGTGTCTGTTTCTGTGTGTAACTTGCATAATGCGATAAGAAACTGTCACGAAGGAAAGTTTGTCGTTATATACATTTTTTTTTTTCGAGTAAAAGCGAAGATTAATGTGTCCTCGTATCTGTGTCCTCTTGCGCACGCATTTTTGTAATCTGTGTATCAGTTGAACCTGCTCATCTATTTTTTTTTTATTATGGCTCATAACAATTTAATCAAGGCTACATTTAATCCCACGACTTTAAGCTTGCGTCTTACTCTATGTTTCATCGCTCAATTAAATGTTCCTTTCTGACAACTGAATGATTTCACTCTCGCTCATCGCTCAGATGTACTACAGTTCAGTGTTTCGATTCAGGAGGATACCGTAATAATTGATAATGGAATTCCTTTTCTTTTGCAGAGCTGGACGACGGAGCGTATAATCCGCTGTGGACGATGCGAGGGTTCACCCAAACCTTTCATTTCTGGAAAGAGACGAGGCGGGCGCAGTCCGTGCCTCTCAACGCCTTTCTGACGTACATTACGTTACCGTGGTGGAGCATAGCCAAAGGTAAGCCACTAAGACGAGTAAGGTTATGATATATTATTACATACAAAAAACTTTCGAAAACTTGGAAAATTTTGATATACAAAATTCATCGATGAAACTGTGCAATATCTATCTTTTTTTTTACTTTTACTCATAAAACATAATGATGGAGTTGGAGAGTTAAATTTTGAGACGTGCAAATACAGTGAAATATAACAATATAAAAAATTAACTCTTGAACTAAATTGCGTTCTTTGCTGTTGCAGATATTTTGGATCACCGGGAAGGACCTATCTTAACGTTCTAGCCGACCGTATAATTACATTCTACTTCTTTCAACACTTTCCTTTTTTTTTACTTTGTATGTCGACGTAAGATTGTGGCCCAAAAAGTTATATAATAATGTATAAATTAAATAATAAATTAAATATTATTTACAATCTCCCGTTACTTATCACGATGCTTTGTAGTATATGTGATAATTTCTCATGATTTTCTATAACTCATTCATTTTCCTCGTATAACAGTTCTAAAATGAATTATCTTTGTACGATATATTACGTGCGGATACGCAATAAATAAGAACTTTCTTGATTTCGGCCTGCTCGCGAGTTGATGCTCGTAAGAGCTACGAACGAGAACTAAGATCTCGTTTCATTTTTTGCTAGGAAGAGAAAAACTCAACGTCCTCGACCACGGTGATACGCGCCGCAACGTCAGCTTTTCGAAAACGTCTTATCAGAAAGACGCTCCATAAACGGTTCATCCGGTGACCCAAGAGTGCACAATATTGTATAATTAAAAGTTTAAAAAGAAATAAAAAAGAAAAGGTTACGGCGCATAACGGATGGCAAACAAACGTGGAAGATATTTTACATCTTACAATGTATACTGCACGTATCTTGATCTATTAATCATTAATATTTAAATACGCATTTTGAAATTGATACACTGCAGTTATTTATGCGAATGTATCTTTTGATTTTGCATAAATACAGAAAAATAATGTAGTTTATCAACATATGTAAGTAATAAATCAAATGTCATCGTATTCTTAAAATATTATCTCAAACATGTTATTTCCTACAGCAGTTTCCCTTTTTTGTCTTTATAATCAGTGAACAATCTTGCGGTCAATCAAGACCGCACATCCTCGTCATAGCATCCTCTGATTACAATAAATAACGAAGAAACGAGGAAAAAAGTTTGCTATACACTATTTGTATCCTAACTTGTCGTGCGAGCAATTTTAGTTTAATTGCATTGTGCGTTCGATACGCATTAAAAACTTAATCATGAAACTTTTCGCGATTGTATGCGCTTTATTGGTTTGTATTTACACCAGTGAAGCCATGTGGCGTGAAGAATCGATATCTCACGAGGCAACAGAAATAGGTAATAATCAAAAACTCTTTTGACATCACTGATTTGCATATGTGTAATTAAAAATATTTAAGATTACATTTGCTATAATAAGAAACTATTTTTGCGATCTTCTTTTGATTAAATATAAGAAATTGGAGAATTCAAGTGCTTGTTTTCAACTTTATATGTATTAAATTTTTTAATATTTATTTTTTACAAAATAATTTTAAACATCTTAATAGGCTTTAAAGACACAGATTTTGCGAATTTGTAAACAGATTGTGCAGGAAGAAGATCAGAACTAGCTGAAAATATGCTAGAGGTGATGTGTAAACCAAGACCTACTTTGGTACCTTTAACACCTCAATTGGGCTACGTATTCCATCCAAATTACGTTTCCGTAAATAGATGCAGCGGTTACTGTCCAAACATGTCTTGCATGCCGACCAGATATGGGACGAAAAACGTCACTGTTAAACAAATGGCAAAATATGTCTCTGAATTGCAATGTTATCACGTAGTAGTAGAACAGCACATCAAATGCAAGTAAGATTGTTTTCTTCTCCGTTTATGCATGTATTTCTTTGATATAACTTACTTATTTCCAATCGAAAAAATGCGTGATTTTTTTATATAATCTTGCAGATAACGCATGCACGCAAATTACATATTTATATTGTTTATTCTCAAAATAATATATAGTTTCAATTAAATTAAACTTTATAGCATAAAATAAATTTTTATTTTAAGTGTATTAAAGTTTTTTTATTTTCTGTAATAAAATGTATATTTTAGTCAGTTTAAAAGAATTAGTAGTTATAAAAATTATAAAAGGAAATGTCTTTAGCCACAAAAGCGGTTAAATGCGGTATCAGATAAAATATTACTCAGTATTTTACATCCACTGTTAAGAAACATAATTTTAGATGTAAATGCATGGTGAAAGAAAGTGATTGCAACAGACGTCAGGAATATGATGAAAAATAATTGTGAGTGCGTATGACGTAAGAAAAGATAAATGCAAAGGAAACATGTCCTGGGATGAAAAATCATGTGAGTGCATGTGCAATAAACAGGACAGAATATGTTCGACCGGACTCGTATGGGTTCCTGACATGTGCGGGTAAAATCGCAAGAAAAATATATTTCAAATTTATACGAGTAGTATGGATACGAAAAAAAAGAATTTAAAAACTATTTTATAATTTCAGTTTTTAGCTTCTATTTCTAATAATTATTCTATATTACAAATAAAAAAATATTTAATCTATGATACTATAAAATAACGTATTTGATCTATGATACTATATTTTCAAAGCAGTAATTCTCACAATCAGTTGATATTAAAATAACATATGTGAACTTTTGGCATTTTAGATGCGCCAAGGTGGAAATGATGCCGTCTTCTTCCGGTGGTAATAACTTGTTTAATAAATTCTTTAACATCAATTCAGTGACATAAGATAATAATATTACAGTTAAAACAAGATGTCCCATATCTTAACATGTTAGAATATTATAGTTATATATATTATAGCAATTTAAGATTTTCGAAAACGAACGATAATAGTGTCATATAGTACTATTTTGTGTTATTCATCCGCAATACATTTTTAAATATATGTATATTTTCTTAATTATTACTAATCGTCGATCTCGTTCTGCACTCGTGCGTAAGAAAAATAGGTAAGTAAAAGTTACAACGCATCGTCGAATATTCGAGCACGGCGTGTGTGACGAATGGCAACAGACGCATGAGAAAACGCTAGATTTGCATTTGTCAAAACATCGAATCATTGAAGGTTTTGTATCCAAAACAATCCTTGTCAAATTTATTATTTTTTCAGGAAAAGAAAAAAAACATTCTGTCATCCTTAAGTTTTCAATAGAACCACCCAAATTTAATAATTATAAATCAAGACATAAGTTTTTATGAGAATTGGTGCAACTACACTGTATAAGTTCCACCTGTGACTACTATACAAATTTTTAAATACGATAAGGATTGTTGACAAGGATTGTTTTTGTTATGAACCCTTCAATTAACGTTACACAGAATATAATATGCGCCTAAATTTTTTACTGATTAAGAAAATGTCTTATAATGTCTCATAAAATAAATTATAAAATAAAAATATATTCTTGTCTTCTCTTTATTTATGTATCTATTAATCTATTATTCCAAATAATTATATTTGATCAAATTTGCTATTAATAGAATAGATATAAAATAGAATAGAATAGAATTTCTGCATTAATCTGCTCATTATTTTCTTTCTTAAAGACTGACTAAATTTTTTATTTCTAATATTGTTAAAATCATACCTTTACCTCGTATCAATGTGCTCCTAATTGGAAAAAAAGTTATAAAATATGTTTGTTCAATGTTTGATATTTTGTAATAATTTATTGTATTTAAAAAGATTGTATATTGCGTAATGACATTCGGCGTCGACTCGAAATCCTCTTTTCACAATTTATTGTTAATATACGAGCCTAAAGACACATTTTATTTATTTATTGTTATTTTAAATATTATATGTTTATTTGCTTCGCGTGATATTATTGACACAAGAATATACGACACAGGAATGTACGTATTAACGTACAATATTGACACAAGAATATACGTATGAAAAGCAACTTTAATTTAAAAATTTTACCAAAGTGACAATGACACTAGGCTACACCTGTGAGACTTTTTTACTCCATTCAATAATATTAATGGTACGTCCGTTAAGCATCTTTTAATTAATCCGACTGTTTTCTCCAGATACATCGAGTATTACCAACGACAATATTTATTCATTTCTTCAATAAATATATTAAAAAATCGCAAAAAAAATTTTTTTCTTATAAAAATATATTACAATAAGAAAAGACAACAAAAAAAGAAGAGAGAGAGAAGGGGAAGGAGGGGGAGAAACAGACAGACAGACAGAGAGAGAGAAAGAGAGAGAGAGAGAGAGAGAGAGAGAGAGAAAGAGAGAATAAAAAACTTGTAAACGTAAATAAATGATATGTAAACATATTTACATTTAAAAAAAAAATTTATTAAATTTTTTCATTAGCACACCTGACTTTGTTAAAATGCAAAAATGAAAATAACAAAACCATTACTCAGTTTGCTAAGAAATATATTTTTAATGTCACAAATTGTTGCATGTTATATGTATTTTCATAAAAAATTTGCATTTAATATTAAGCCTTAAAAATATGTCGATTAAACGTATTAAAATTTTGTATCTACTTGACATGCATAAAATATTATTTAAAAAAATACATAATCTTAGTGGGAAAGTATAAAAATCGTGAAAAAATATCTTGAGTTAAAGAAATCAAAAAATTTCAATACATTTTGAAAGACTGTTATGATAGAAAAATCTTGAAAATCTTAAAAATTTTGCAAGTCTTAATGTCTTCAACGCTTTGAATAGTATGAATGTGTGAAATATTTTACATAATTTAACACATATACATATACACAGGCACATGTATGTATACAATATATATATATATATACAATATACATGTATATATACACATTCAAGGCTTTAAAGCTTTTAAGATTTGCCAAAATTCTCAATTAAAACAGTCTGCAAAATGTTTTAATATTTTTTATTTTCAGTCAATCTTGGTTTGCTTAAAAATTTTCAAGTAAGAATCTATTTGTGGAATCCTATCACTAAATATATATATTATATATAATTTTGTGTTTCAAATTTTATATACAAAAATAATAATATCGATAAATTATGTGTATACTCATCAATAATTATATAAAATTTAAAAGTTTTGATATCGGCTATATCAGATATTTTTATATAGATTACATTTTGTAAATTTTAAGTCGAATAAACTAATCAAACTTTAATCTTTTAGCACATTCTGATGAACAAGCGTAACATTCAAACTTTGCTTTCTCAATATGTAGTGATAGAACCGGGATAAACTTAGGATCCAGTATTTTCTTATACTTAAGATAATTTATGAAGCGCTTTCCATAATAACGAAAACATGGAGTTACACAAAAGAAGCAATATCTTTTATTATCCAAATATTTGACCAATTCTTGTGGTAATCCGTTTGTGTAATTTAATCTATAATCGTCAAGATTATTAAAAATATTGAAATAATTTTGACTTACACAGTATTTTTAAAGAGTCAGGTTAAATATAATTAAAAACATCGAAATAATAGCAACAAACCTATATTTCAGGAAAATTTCAGCTGAACAATCCAGAAGACTTGGCACTTCCAAATTCGTAGTCGAATTATCATAACTATCGTCATCTAAATTAAATGGATTCCCATTAACATTTATAAACGCCCATGACTGTGCTATACTTCCTGGTAAATATAATAAATCATTGTCGGACAAATCAAGAAATGTTAAATTTTTTAGATTTGCGAGACTTTGTGGTAAATATTTTAACTTATTGCATTTGAGATTTAAAAAAATAAAGTATTTAGTTTTCCAATTTGTGGCGGTAATTCCATTAACTAGAAATAATTAATAATTTTATAATTTATTAGTAGATAATAAATATAAACCTTTTATTTTTTATAATAATTTTGGTTCTTTTTATGATGTTTTGACAAATAAATAGTGCAAGTCTTACCAGATTGTCCGACAGATTTAAATCACACAATCTAATTCTGATTGCAGTTTGCTCTAGCCATTCCCACGTATTGCGATCAGATTTCCCAAGGTGATTAGAAGAGAGATTAAGACACATAAGATGAGGCAAAGTACCTAACTCTTTTGGTATGAACTTGATCTTATTTTTGCATAAAAATTAAGTTTTCCATACAATTAATTTGTCATGTAGTGATCTACACGGAGAAAATTGTATATAAAAAATTACTATGTACGGTAGTAGCCGCGGACTATGAAAGAATTATAAAAATTTTTACTATGTTTTTTACATGTAAAACATGGAAAAAATTTTCGGTCCACAGCTTCATGGTCCATGGTTACTACCGTACATAGTAATTTTGTATATAAAATTTCTGCATGCATTAAATAAAGTTAATTTATTATAATATAATGGATGACTTTTTATGTATTGTCAATAAAAAGTAATTGTAATTTAAATGTTTATTTTTAAGAAAATTTTTTAAGAAATAATATCATTTTTGTTAGTTAATATCATGATATTTTAGTAATTCGATATTACAACTTACATAATTATGACTTAAGTTGAGATATCTTAAAGTATGTCTAATGGGAGCTTGCATTGACCATTCCCATGAGAATTGTTCAGATTTTCTAAGATTATTATACGATAGATCAAGATCCACAAGAGGTAAATTACCAAACTCCTTTGGTAAAGAACTGATTCTCATTCTTGTCATATATAATGTTGTGAGATTTTTTAAACATGTGATTTGTAAAGGTAATTAAAATAGCTGTAAATAATAAAATAATTCATTAATATAACGATAAATGATGGAAATGTGAAGTAACTTTTTTTTTAAATAATATTTAATATCATAATATCTGAGTAAGATAGTGCAACTTACGTCATAATATGTTATTTCCAATGATTTTAAATTACATCTCATAGGAGCTTGCTCTAACCATTCCCATGCAGATTGAGTAGTATTCACGACATAATTTCTGAATAACGTAACCTCTTGAAGATGATGTAATGTACCGAAGTCCTTTGGCAAAAAATTAAACTTACATTCTTGTAAAGTTACATTCACTAGATTCCGAAAAGGTGTATGCAAAGAATGATACAAAGAATAGTACAAAGATTCTTTTCTGTTACACGAAAGATTCGGGAATGAAAATGAACTGCAATGACACTAACAAATGAAAAGTATATATTATATGAGAGTACAAAAAAAAGAACATAGGCGCGAACAAGCGAACACGTGTAAGAGCGCCGGTGAACATAACATGAGAACTGAGAAGAATAATAATAATACGGCGTGAACGTCGTTAATAGAGGCGCCTGCATCGTAGCGGGGTCCGATGCGATATCGGCGGAAGCCAAAAGAAAATATAATTGGCGCGAAAGTCAAAAAGAATGTTTCAACACCCCCACTACTTGAGCGTTTTCGCAAAATTATT